AGAACAACAATAAGGGTCAATCAAAGTCAAAAGAGAGAAGAAAGATGAAGGATTCAAAGAAATCAGGCATACGGTTGTACTGGATGACAAGAATAATAGAGGACTATTCTGACAAAGGATAGGTAGATTGATGAGGACACACTATGAGAGAAGATTCAGAAAGAAAAAGAGAAAAAGTAGGGAAAAGAAATGGGTTAGTTCTTTTGACAACAAACAAAGAAGAGAGAGAACAAAAGAATTCAAAGGAGAAAGAAGGAAAACAAACAGAAGAGGAAGAAGTGTTCGAATTCGACACAGAAGGAAATAGGACAATGAAATGAGAGGCTCAGTCTACAGAAGGAAAGGAGTGGAGAGGGAGTTAGGATCCGGTTTGGTCAGGTAGGGTGTGTCGGAGTACTTTACTTTACGAGCTTCGGTCCTGAGAAGGTTAATTTTGAGGAGGTTTTTTGTAGACTTGAGGTCGAGAGGGTATGGAGTAGGGAATTGGACTTGAGTGAACCGAGTTCTTTGTTCTAGGTCGTTGCTTCTAGATCGGTTGAGGAGAGTAGAGATCGAGGGATGACTGAGCTCTTAAGGAGCAGGAGATTTTCAACCCTAAGCGGTTGGTTGAGCATTGCCGCAGTTTGTGCCGCAACACTGGCTGTGCAGGGGGTTTCTTCTTGCGCGGACACATTGAAAACTCAACAGCCCTCCTTGTTTGTTGACGAAAGAACTGTAAGACACTTTTGCTGAAGTTTTTTCAAGGAGGAGTGGGTAGCCGCCTTGGTCAGAGAGTCCGCCACCATGTCCGGCGAGGAGATGAGCTTCACATCGATATCTTTTGAGTTAAATTTTTCCCTCAGGCTTTTTATTTTGATATCGAGGTGCTTGGTCTTTGAGTTAGACCCAAAGTTCTTCAGCTTCTCCAGTAGGCCCTTATTGTCGATGTGGAAGAGAGTGGGTGAAAGTTTTATCCTCCATAACTCCTCAATCAGGAAAGAGAGCCATTGGTTCTCCTGCTCTCCATCCGAAAGGGCGTTCATTTCAGACTCGGTGGAAGACATTGTTATGTTTTTCTGTTTCTTGCTATTCCAAAGGATTGGGCAAGATTTCCAGAACGCTAGAGTACCGCTTCGTGAGATTCTTGATTCTTGATCCTCAGCCCAAGTAGCGTCCGTGAAAAAGTTAATCTTGTCAGGTTCGGGTCTGAGAAGTAATCCTAGATTGATCGTCCCCTTCAGATATTTCCATACATGCACAACTTCCTTCCAGTGACTCAGCCCCGGTCTCTGATTGAACTTAGACAAGATTGAAACCGCAGCCGCCAGATCAGGTCTGGTTCGACATGCGAGATAGTTCAGCATTCCGGTGTAGGAGCGGTAGTTTAGGTTAAGTTGCAGGAAGGCAGCATGATCCTCATCGGTGGCAGTGTGCAGTTGTACGGCAGGGGTGAGCGGGGTCTTTACAGGACGACATTCTTGTAGATTTAGTAATTCGAGACCTTTTTCAATGAGAGCGGGTTGAGAGAGTTCGATTGAATCTGGCAGAACATTGAGGTTCATACCAAGTAGGGTATCCGGTGCATGGGCCGTGGAATTAGGAAATCTAGCCAAGAATAGTTCTTCAAAGGATTCAACGTTGCCAACAACTATGAGATCGTCGACGTGAAAGAAAATGAAGGAATTCTTGTCTTTATGGATAAAGAGACAGGCATCCGACACTGAGGGATTGTAATCGATTTCTTGGAACCACGCCGTTAGGGTCTCGTACCAGTTTTTCGGAGCTTGTTTAAGCCCGTACAGAGACTTTACTAGTTTCAGGTAAGGAGCCGTACGATTGGAGCCTTCAGGGGTCCTGATGTATATTTCTTCGTCGAGAGGTGCAAACAAGAAGGCGCTCTTGACGTCGAATTGTTTGATAGGCATTTTCAGGTTGATGGCCAGAACCAGAAGGGTTAGAAGCGATGGAAACTTGCCAGTGGGGGCGAAGGTCTCGAAAAAATCTTTGCCGTAAGTTTGAAGGAATGTGAGCCTGGGTCTCAAAAGTGACAGCAGGACACAAGGATTGGGGGGCAATTCTAGATGTATTTCAAGGGGATAAAGAAATACAACTAGAATAAGAGAAAAGGAGAGAGAAAGAAATGAGAAATGAAATGAATAATAATTTTATTGTTTATTTATTTTATGATCAAGTTTTATGCAGTCTTACTTTCCTTAGAGGATGGCTGTTATTAAGCGGAATTAATCTACGCCTCCTAATCAACTGAAACTGAGAAGGGTTCCTGGTATTGATAAATCAATCCGGCCACTATTTTTTAGATCTAAGATCAAGGGTCTTTAAAGGGAAACCTATGTGGTTTTTAGTTATACCACCAAACAGAGAATTGAGATGACTTGATTTGATTTGATGATGATTAAGGCAGAGGTTTAGTAGAAACAGAATGATGTGATCATTCAGAGAGACAGAGAAGGAACTTAGCAGAAAGATGCAAGCTGAACTTGTGGAGTGACTTACTTATTGGTGATCCTGACACGATGAGTGGGAAGATTCCAATAGTTAAGGGACTCCAAACGATAACACGGCGATGATGCGGCGGTGAAGTATCCAAGTTGAGTTTGGTGATTTCTGGTCTGAGTTGGTTCTGGGTGGGTCTGAAGCTTGAAGATCCTGAAAATGCGAACTCAGTGTCTACTGAGAAAATTTTCAGAGTTGGATTACATAATCACAACATGTACATGTGGTAGAGAGTTGGAATTCAAACTTGGTTGATATTTCACAAGGTACGGTGAAATATTACAAAGTCTATGAAGGAGAAGAGTAGTGTAAAAGTGTGTAGTGGTGACTAAGGTTAAAATCACATGAGGAATTCATTTCTGAAGTCAGAATGTAATAAAATCATGAGGTAAAAAAGTTACAGTAGGAACATAGCTGAAAAGGAGGACTTAGGCAGTCTTTTGGCCAGCTTGGCTGGCTCTAAGGCTGACATTCCCTACCACCAAAGAGGTTTCATTTCCAAAAAATGGAACCTTAATGAAGATATTGAATGACTCCTGCATATCATCAGTAGTTTTCTTTTTCTGGTTTGCACTTCTTTAGCCTAGCATCATCTACTTGAGACGTCTGAAAATATCTTCCCCAAGTCTGAGGGTGATGAGGTTCTGCCTGGATTTCAGCTGTAGAAAAATCCTTGGTAATTTCACATTCCACTGCACATTAATCAAAGTTGAAATCAATTAGGGGATCTGGAGTACTATGATTATCTCTGGCTAGAATCATGTGATTTTCATTGGGATTCTCCTCATCTTTGTCATATTGGCTGCCGGAGTCAAACTCATTATTGTAAAGTTTTTCTTTGTCTTCATCATAAGAATTGAAGTCTACATTATTGATTCTCTTCTTCTTTCTAGGGCATTCTTTAGAGAAATGACCAGGTTGTTTGCAGAAGTGACAAGCATCATGTCCTGTGGTGGCCTGTGGATTAGATGTCGAAGGTCTCTTTGAATCATGTTCATCCTTTCTGACTTCATCTTTACTAGTCTGGTTGCTATTCCTCCAAGAGCTCTTATTGACCTGGGGGACATTGTTGTACGAAGTTTTGTACTGTCCCATTGCTCTGTCAAGAATTTCTTCAATAATTATGACCATTTCTTCAAAGTTCATGTCTTCCGCGGCTCTATTGCATCTGCTTTTAACCGCATGCTCCAATGAACCAGGGCATTGCTTCAAAACTTTCTCACAGACTAGAGATTGACTAAGTTCAGGTTGGTAAGCTCTAAGTCTTTCTCTCTGGGTGCTGAACCACTTGTGAACTTTTCTGTTATCAACTGTGAAATAATCCTTCTCAAATTCCATCCTCATTTTCCATTTCCAGTTATGTGTTCCAAACTTATTTCTAATGGTGTGTTTCCACCAGGACCAAGGTTTTTTTTCACATTGATCTCTAATCCCAAGGAACCAATTCTTAGCTGTATCAGTGAACAGAGCAGTTAGTCTGCTTACTACCATGTCATCCGTCAACAGATAGTCTTGTACAAAAACATCAATATTTTTCAACCACAGTTCATGGTTGTAAGGGAGTTCTCCGGAGAATTTTTCCCATTCACTGGTCTTAGGGATAGCTTTCCATAGTTGGTTTCTTACATCAGAATTCACTTCACCATGGTCAATAAAAGGAAATTCATCAACCCAGTTTGGAAATGTGGTTTCTGTTTTGGGTCTACTTCTTCCGGACGTATTATCCTTTTTGTTGACCACTTCAGAGGTAAAGGTAACATGTTGGACAGGGTATTGCTGTTCTTGGGGAACATCCTTCTCCTCAAGGAAAGGGTTTTGAGAAGGTTCATCTTGAATATTTAAAATTGGGTTGTTAAATTTCAAGTGTGGAGGGGAATCTCTTCCTTGAGGCTCAATGATAGAGTTGAGTTTGTTACTTACTGCATAGGTGGTTTGGCATACATCACCTAGCCTTCTCTTAAGTTGCTCAAATCTGTTGTCCTCACTGATGTTTAGCTCACTGAATTGATCAGAAATGTATTTAAAATTTCCTGTGGTTCTTTCTTCAAAGGATCTCATCTCTTTCTTGACTTCATCAAATTTAGAAAGGCAATCTACATCTCTTACAAACAGAATATCTTGGAAATCTTCTAATTTCTTATCAATATGTTGTTTCAATTCTTCTACATAGCTTGGACAGTGATGATTGCTTGGCTCTTTGTTTACTTTATCACTCAGATTTTCAATTACTTTCTCAATCAAAGAAGGAACAATTTCTTCTTTTATCAACTTAGAGATAGAATTTTTCATAGAAGAATGGAAATTATTCAAACAAGATTCTAACAAGGTACTAGGAATGGATTCTACTGTTCCGGTTAATTCAGAGAGAAAATTAGAAAACAACTCTTTTAATCTATCTTCAATTAGTAATGGGACATTTCTAGTTAAATCTTGGTTTATGTTTTGAAGACAAAATTCTTTGTTTGATGGATTTGACATATCATCTAAATCAAAACTATGGGGGGAATCTATTGGGGTAATTCTTCCTGCTGGTTGCCTTGTTGTTGGGCTTGATTGCTTCCTCTTCCCCTCCCACGATAGCGGAAAACTCTTCCGGCTGCCCTCTCCGCTCTCATCAGATACTCTCCAACCTCTAGCATCCTGCTTGTGGGATCTTGGGGAGCCCTCCAGTTCCTCCCTTATCCTCTCCAGTCTCCTTCTTGTGGGGGGCAGAACTGTTTTTGATGTGGTCTGCTTGTCTGGGCCACTTGTGCTTGGTGGACCAGCTTGTAGTTCGGCACAAAATTGGAGAGCTTTTGCTGGTGCTGGAAGCTTCCCTGTCGGTATTACAGGTGTTGTATTCACCTGCGCTGATTGTAATACACTGAAGCTGGTGGGGGTTGAGTAGATGGTAACGGGGGTGGAGGCAAATGGTTGTTTTGAGTTCGTTGCGTTTTGGTATCTTGATGCTGGCTCAAGGTGGTCTGAGGTCTCTGGTTGGGTGGTTGATCTGGCACCTGTTGTTGGCCAGAAACCATGTAGGTTATCTCTGAGGGTTGGCGAGTCAAAGGCCGAGGCACAGGGGATGAGCTGAGCATGTGGTTGAGGGCAAACCTCTTTTGGATGACGTTCCGGTTCTCTTGCGCTTGAAATCACATGAGCTATTGGTTGTTGATGAAGTTGATCACTGCTTCTACTGTGGGGTTGTCCACTATTATGTCGTCTGGACTCATCGAAGTTGCGGATTGGCTCAGAGCTGTGTGAGGGTTCTGATGGAAAGGAAGCTGGATCTGAGAGGGAATCTGACGGCTTGTGGCGGTACTCGTAAGGACTGCAAAGGTTTGACGTGGTATTTGGTGCAGCAGCGGTGTCAATCTGTTTGACCTCATTGCTAAAGCCAGAGAAGTGGCTCTTGAGTTGATGAGGGCTGGGGATACGCCGAATTCCAACGGCAACGCTCCCTCCACTGGTCTTCTCATAGCGGTTGCGTTGATCTGCGGCAGACCGGAGCTTAAACGTGCGAAGTCGCTCCTTTGCTGCGGCACTAAGCTGGTATCTTGGGTCATTGCCTCGCTGTGGTCCAGCAGGTCGTTCTCTTGATCTAGAGTCGGGCGGCTGTTGGATCTCTCGCTGAGATTGCTCCTCTCGATTGGTCTCGTGTCGAGGTCGTCCTCTACTAGACTGGGCTCTGAGTTCGATCTCGCTTCTTTTTTGTTCAAGAGAGATGTTGTATCCTCTTCTTAAATGGGCGCCCATCGCGACGACAAAGAAATTTAGAAGATAATAAAAAAACAAGGATTGCTTTTAGTTATTTTTCTGTTATGCGTAGAGGTAGTAGGAGGAAGATTGATTGATTGGCACAAAGATTCAAGGAATGATGTTAAGGATACCTCTAGGTATTTTCTTTCTAGAACGCCGCGGTAGGAGTCCACTCGGTCGACAAGATGAGGTTTCCTTCTTGGGGCGGAGTGAGAGTCTGTTTTTCCAGGAGGTCTAGATTGGCTTCCGCGTCTGACGGGATTGCAAAGAGGTCCGACGAGAGAGGAGTGTGCTACTGTGTAGGAGAATCTGGTATAATTCTTCGACTAGTCTTCACTTCGCCGAGCTTGCGAGAGTAATATCGGAAAATCGAGAGAGAAAAAAAAGGAAACGGTAGCGGGTACAACGATTTGTTCAAATTAGCACCTCTTCGCTCTTCTGAAGACGGCTTTTGAAGAGAGAAAAAAAAAGGAAAACGACTGGTCGTTTTTCTGGTAGATGGTATCAAAAAAAGGAAAGGTATCGGCAAGCGCTTTGCGATAAAAATTGAAATTTTGGCGAGCGCTTCGCGATGGAATTTTTGGAAAAAAAAGGCAAGCAATTGTTTTGGTCAAGCGCTCCGCGATGGTAGATGAAATAAGGCGAGCGCTTCGCGATGGAATTTAGAGAAGTGAGTTTTTGATCAAAAATATTTTGTAATTTTGTTTTTGGTTAGAATCTTCGAAAGAAAGAAAAAGAGTGTGAGAAGCTTTCTCCGTTTTTTGGTCTTTTAAAGAAAAGAAAGAAAGTCTTAAGGTATGTAGTTCTTTTTTGATTATAATTTTAAGAGGCCTGAGAAATGATGATTCAAGTTGAGAGTATGATTATGAGAGGTCTATGGAATATAAATTTCCCGATGAGGCCCCCAATTGTGAGCCTGGGTCTCAAAAGTGACAGCAGGACACAAGGATTGGGGGGCAATTCTAGATGTATTTCAAGGGGATAAAGAAATACAACTAGAATAAGAGAAAAGGAGAGAGAAAGAAATGAGAAATGAAATGAATAATAATTTTATTGTTTATTTATTTTATGATCAAGTTTTATGCAGTCTTACTTTCCTTAGAGGATGGCTGTTATTAAGCGGAATTAATCTACGCCTCCTAATCAACTGAAACTGAGAAGGGTTCCTGGTATTGATAAATCAATCCGGCCACTATTTTTTAGATCTAAGATCAAGGGTCTTTAAAGGGAAACCTATGTGGTTTTTAGTTATACCACCAAACAGAGAATTGAGATGACTTGATTTGATTTGATGATGATTAAGGCAGAGGTTTAGTAGAAACAGAATGATGTGATCATTCAGAGAGACAGAGAAGGAACTTAGCAGAAAGATGCAAGCTGAACTTGTGGAGTGACTTACTTATTGGTGATCCTGACACGATGAGTGGGAAGATTCCAATAGTTAAGGGACTCCAAACGATAACACGGCGATGATGCGGCGGTGAAGTATCCAAGTTGAGTTTGGTGATTTCTGGTCTGAGTTGGTTCTGGGTGGGTCTGAAGCTTGAAGATCCTGAAAATGCGAACTCAGTATCCTCTGAGAGAATTTTCAGAGTTGGATTACATAATCACAACATGTACATGTGGTAGAGAGTTGGAATTCCAACTTGGTTGATATTTCACAAGGTATGGTGAAATATTACAAAGTCTATGAAGGAGAAGAGTAGTGTAAAAGTGTGTAGTGGTGACTAAGGTTAAAATCACATGAGGAATTCATTTCTGAAGTCAGAATGTAATAAAATCATGAGGTAAAAAAGTTACAGTAGGAACATAGCTGAAAAGGAGGACTTAGGCAGTCTTTTGGCCAGCTTGGCTGGCTCTAAGGCTGACAAGGAACCCCTGAATGCACAAGCGAGCCTTCTGCTTTTCCACCGACGAATTGGTAGCTGGCTTCGTCTTGAACACCCAGGTATGAGCAAGTAGTTTACTGGGCTCTTCTTCCTGATCAAGCCAGACATCGTGGTCTTCGATGTTGTTTAACTCATCATCAATGGCCTTTTTCCAGCCCTCAGAGTTGGGTCCGGTGACGGCTCTTTTGAATGACTTGGGGTCGTCCGTGAGATGGGAGTGCGCGGTGAAGTGAGAGTATTTTACTGGCTTCACCTGCAAGGTACGATCACGAAGAATCCGACCAACGGGGGCATCAACAGGGGGAATCAGTCCTTCAGCCACTTCTATCTCGTCGTCCTCCGAGTCAGAGTTCAGTGATTGAAAGTGCTCGTTGGAATCTTCGGATGCTTCCTCTTCCTCTTCCTTGATGTCAGGATCATCATCCTCATCCTCTTCTTTATCTGCTCGAGGCATTTTTTTTCCTTCCTCCGGCTCACGTTCTTCAATCAACTCATTGACATCCAGAGACGCGGAGACAGTTGCATCAAATTCAAGGAATTGCACGTTTTTTGTGTCAACAATCTTTCCGCTAGACAGTAGGATTTTGTAGGATTTAAGATCCACATTGAATCCGAGTAGTTTCCCGAATTCTCCCCGAGGTTCCAGCTTGGGCTTGCTTCCATTTGATACAAGCACAAGAGGATTACCGATAGGTTTGAAGTACTGAAGGGGAATGGACTGCATCTTGAAGAGTTCATACGGCGATTTCTTGCTGCGATGAGTAGGAATTTGATTTAGAGTGAGAGTACAAGCACCAAGAATCTCGTTCCAGAGTGACGAACTAAGGCCAGAGTCAAGCAGATTGGTTCTTAGTGATTCAAGTATGGTCCGGTTGAATCTCTCAGCTAATCCATTCTGCTGAGGGGTGTACGCATCTGAGTAACGCTGTTGGATCACGTGTTCCAGACAATATTTAGACAGCTCAGAGTTGATGAACTCTGTTCCTCGATCAGAGTGAAGAATTGAAGGATAGTAGCCCAGACGCTTAGCTTCGACGTCGATGACATGAGTGAGATTTTTGAAGGTGTCTGATTTGGCAACCAGAGGGATTGCTGATACAAAGCGAGTATTGGCATCGACTATTGTCAAGATGTATTTGTGTTTTTTGTGCGACATGCGAGCAATAGGCCCGATCAGATCAAGATGGAGCTCCTCCAGCGGTTTGGTAGCGGAGGAGGATCGATGTTTGTACGAGGCTTTGGTAACTTTAACGACAGCACACGATTTGCATATCTCCGGTGTCTTGACAGGAATTCCTAATTTCTGTCGTATCCGGCTGTAGCTAACATGTCCTAGCGACTTATGCAGGATCTCGGCAGAAGACATATGAGAATGGGATGGAGGAGGTAGTAATTCGATGACCGGCAGATTGTGCTGATACCGGCCGTCTAAGTAGGGCTGGCCATTCTTGGTGATGGTGAAGTGGTTAATTGAGAAATTTATATTGCATTGCTCGAGAAGGAAATGGCGCAGAGATAGAACATTGACAGTGATTTTAGGAACAAGTAGTACGTTATGAAGAGTGATGGGTTTATTTTTAAATAGTAGGTCAACTGATCCTTTTCCTTCGATTTTAAGGGTACTGAAGCCGCAACTTGTGTTAATCATGCCGCCTTTGCTTTCGTCTAGACAGGTGAAGAGGTTCCGATCAGAAATCATATGCGAAGTTGATCCGGAGTCTAAGATAAAGATAGAGGGTTGGCTGAGTGAGAAAGTAGAGAAGGAGCTAACATGGGAGTCTTCCTTCTTCTTCATGAATTCGGCCTTTTTTTCGGGGTAGACCTTCCAGCAGTTCTCCTTAGGATGCGATTTCGCGTAAGGATTGTGATGTCCAGGAATGCATCGGGGATCTTCCTTGGTGAACATGGAAGTCGCAATTGATTCGGAGTTGCTTGAAGATGAGACCTTTAATTCATTGAGATGTATCTCAAGATGGTCCAACAGGGATTGAGGTTTTATGTCCTCACCGTTCCTCGAGTGAGTGATGGTCTGCTTGATGTTGTCGAGGCTGTTGGGGAGACGACGGAGCAAGTCGTACGTGATGATATCTTCAGGGAGAGTAATACCCACGTCTTCCATCTTCGCTAAGGAGCTTCTGACTTCGGTTATGAACTTCTCGATGTTGCTGACGTCGAATGAGATGTTGGCAAAGGCATTGTACACTCGAGCGCGATTTGACGGCTCGGAAGAGATAAACCGTTTGAGGATGGCTTTCCAGAGGAGTTGTGCGTTGACCTCGTTGGTCGCGGTGACAACATTTGTGTGAGTGGTAGGGGAGATTTTTGCAATGATGATTGCGCAGAGCATAGTGTTGTCATCGTCAGCAAGAGCCGGTTCTCCTTCAGCCATTTGTTCCTTCAGGCCGCCTAATTTGAATAGAGCGTTGATTCGAGTTCGCCAACTGGAGAAGTTGTCCTCAGTGAGAGTAGGAATAGCCTCAATGGTCATTTTCAGGATGGTCGGGTTAACGGCCTCCATCGCGTCCAAGTAGTCTTCTGGTTTTTAGTTTTGGAGTCGGGTTTTCGAGGTGTATTTTGACTGTTAATCGTAAAGAAATTCGATTGATTGCTATCAAAACTAAAACCAGAACTGAGAAGAGAAGAACAACAATAAGGGTCAATCAAAAGTCAAAAGAGAGAAGAAAGATGAAGGATTCAAAGAAATCAGGCATACGGTTGTACTGGATGACAAGAATAATAGAGGACTATTCTGACAAAGGATAGGTAGATTGATGAGGACACACTATGAGAGAAGATTCAGAAAGAAAAAGAGAAAAAGTAGGGAAAAGAAATGGGTTAGTTCTTTTGACAACAAACAAAGAAGAGAGAGAACAAAAGAATTCAAAGGAGAAAGAAGGAAAACAAACAGAAGAGGAAGAAGTGTTCGAATTCGACACAGAAGGAAATAGGACAATGAAATGAGAGGCTCAGTCTACAGAAGGAAAGGAGTGGAGAGGGAGTTAGGATCCGGTTTGGTCAGGTAGGGTGTGTCGGAGTACTTTACTTTACGAGCTTCGGTCCTGAGAAGGTTAATTTTGAGGAGGTTTTTTGTAGACTTGAGGTCGAGAGGGTATGGAGTAGGGAATTGGACTTGAGTGAACCGAGTTCTTTGTTCTAGGTCGTTGCTTCTAGATCGGTTGAGGAGAGTAGAGATCGAGGGATGACTGAGCTCTTAAGGAGCAGGAGATTTTCAACCCTAAGCGGTTGGTTGAGCATTGCCGCAGTTTGTGCCGCAACACTGGCTGTGCAGGGGGTTTCTTCTTGCGCGGACACATTGAAAACTCAACATCTTTTTTACCTTAAGACTTTTTACCTTTCTGACTTCAGAAATGGATTCCTGGTGTAAAATTAACCCTAGTCACCACTGATCACTTTTACCCAACTCCATTCCTTCATTGACTTTGTAATAATTCACAGTACTCCAAGAATTATTCCAACCTTTAGGTTTCAGCTCCCTCTACCACATGTACATGCCAGATTACATAATCCAACTTTGAAAATCCTCTCTGAGCTTGTTGATTCCGCTTCCAGAGGATTTTCAGACTCCAGACCAACACAGAACACCAACAACCAGACCCAGATCAAGCAAACACTTATCAACCAGAAGGACCTCACTTTTCCTACCTTTCCCACTACTCAGTGCCATTGGTATCATTAGTAAGTCTCTTCTCATAAGTTAAGCTAGCATCTCTCTGCTTGTTTCTCTTCTCTGTCTCTCTCAGTTTCCTTTCACTCCTCATCAAACCAAAGCCCTGATCAAAGAAAGCAAGCCTTAGCTTCTACTATCTCTTCTCTTCCTGTTTGGTAGTACAACTGAAAACTACATAGGTTTCCCTTTAAAGAGCCTTGATCTTTGATCTAAAAAATTGTGGTTGACCTGATACATCAGTGTCAATACCCATCTCAGTTTCTGTTGAGTTGGAGGCGTCAGAGTTAGCTCCGCTTATAACAGCTATCCTACTAAGGAAAATAAGACTGTCTGCAGCCATCCAAGAGGGACAGTAAGACTGCCATAACTTAATCTTCTTCATAAAATAAATAAAGAACAAAAAGATTATCCTATTCTTTTCCTTCTCTTCTTTCCCTCTCTTCTACTTTTACTTGTATTTCCTTTATCTTTAGAAATACATTTAAAAGTGCCCCCCAAAACCTTGTGTCCTGCAGTCACTATTGAGACCCAGGCTCACATGGTGTGAGAGTGGGCTCTTTGAGTTATAGCTAGGCGTGGGACCGGTGGCGTGGGGTTCGCTTGCTGGGATCTTTCCAAGTCCGCTAGCTCTTCTCTTGCAGATCCTTAACATCTCCTTGCCTCCCACCAAATCCCTGATCACTCCCTGGCTGGATATAGCTTGGGTGAGGGCGGCTCGCATCAAGGGAACGTTGTTGTTGTCCCTTGCTTGGATTAACATCAGCCATTGGTTGTTGAATAGGTTGATGAAAACTTCTAGGTCCTGGTTGTTGACTATTATGTCAACCTGACCTGTCGGAGCTGGCGAGGGGCTCAAAGTTGGGATTGGGTTCTGATTTAACTGACGAGGGATCGGAGATTGAATCGTCAGGTTTGTCGCGGTACTCGTATGGACCGCAAAAGTCTTGTGTTCAACCGGGCGCAGTACTGGAGTTGATTGATTCGACAAGGTCTCTAGGGCTAGGGATGCGGCTCTAGAGTTGATCAACGCCGGGGATATTCCTAGCTCCGAAGTCACAGCTCCTTGCGCCTGTGGCCTCATATTGTCCTCGTTGATTTGAGGCAGACTGGAGCCTAAGTTTCCAAATGTGTTCTGCTACGGCGGGAATGAACTGATATCTCAAGTCATCTCCTTGCTGTAGTCCAGCAAGTCTAGTTCCAGCTCCGGAGTCGGACGAAAGTTGTTCTCTTCGTTCGCGGTCTCGTTGTTGTTGTTCAACGGAGATGTTGCCGTCATTTCTAAGATGGGCACCCATTACAATAAGAATTTATATATATATATATTTAAAGGAAAAGAAAAAAAAAGAGAGCAAGAATCAAATCCAAATCAGTTTCTCTGCAAGTTTGAGAGCTCAATAGGATTGGAACCTCAAAGGAAAACTAAGAACCTTTTGTTCTATTTTTTCGTGGTTTTCTTAGAGAGATATGTGCTGATGTCCGGCATCCACTCGGGGAATTTTGTAGGTTCGGTCTCCTTAGGTACGGGGTTCTTTCCGTTTTTTCTAGCTCTAGAGGTGTCGGCAGTAGCAATTGGGGTCCACTCAGTCAACGAGATAGGATTTCCTTCTTTTGGAGGGGCTAGTGTCTGATTTTCTAAGAGATTGCAGTCTTTCTCTGAGTCCGATGGGATTGAAGAGAGATCCAAAGATAAGGTATCAGGAGATTCAAGTGGAGAGTTGGGTATGATGTGTTTGCTAGTCTTCACTTCACAGATGTAACAAGGTGGTTCAAAGGGTCAAGAAAGAAAAAGGAGAGAACCGAAAATTCAGGAATGATTGATCTGTTTGGACGGCTTATAGATTGAAGCGTACTGAGAGGGATAAATTCACTGTTTGAGATAAAGTAAATAATAAAACAAATTCTTTAGGCAAGCGCTCCGCAATGAGATTTAGAAAAAAAAGGTCAAGCGCTCCGCGATGGAAGTTTGAGAAGTAAGGTTTGGAATATAAAAACTGAAATGGTCTATAGTTTTTTTATTTTTGAAAAAGAGTAAATGAAGCTCTGGGAGAAAAAGTTTTTTTTATAAAGGTTAGAGGCCTGATAATGAAGATTAAAGTTTGATAGTATGATTTTGAGAGGTCTTTTCCCAATGAGGCCCCCAATTGTGAGCCTGGGTCTCAAAAGTGACAACAGGGCACAAGGTTTGGGGGGCACTTCTAGATGGATTTCAAGAGGATAAGGAAATACAACTAGAATAAGAGAAAGAGAGAGAGAGAGAGAAAGAGAAAAAGAAAGAATGTTATTTTTATTGTTTATTTGTTTTAAAGTCAAATCTTAATGCCGTCTTACTTTCCTCAAAAGGATGGCTGTTGTTTTAGCGGAATAAATCTACGCCTCCTTACTCAACTGGAACTGAGAAGGGCTATTGGTATTGATATGTCAATCCAACCACAATTTTTTAGATCAAAGATCAAGGTTCTTTAAAGGGAAACCTATGTGGTTTTCAGTTATACCACCAAACAAAGAATAATGATGACTTAAGAAGATTTGAGATTATGTGATGATGATAGAGGCAGTTGTTTAGTAGAAACAGGATGAAAAGTTCATTCAGAGAGACAGAGAAGAAACTTAGCAGAAAAGATGCAAGCTAAACTTGAAGGAATGACTTACTTATAGGTGATCCTGACACAAAGAGTGGGAAGATTCCAATGAGTAAGGGACTCCTAGCGATAACACGGCAATGATACAGCGGTGAATCCAAGTTGAGGTGTGCTGGTTTTCTGGTCTGAGTTGGTTCTGGGTGGGTCTGAACCTTGAAGATCCTGAAAATGTGAACTAAGACCATCTCCACCGCGGGGACTAAATCGCGGGACTAAACCAAATTTAGCTACCCAAACCCAATTTAGCTTCACCACCGGAGGTGCTAAATGGGGGGCTAAACTGAGAATATCCCTCTCGGGCCCTATATCGTTCCCACATCTAGGACAGTATAGCTCCTCAAATAGCTACTCTGGTTCACATATCACACATCTCATTTTATGTGATACTCCACCTCATCCTCTACACAACCCCCGACCAATATCCCCTACCAGATATCCATCACATATCGGCCATCCCATATACACAATTCAATACCAACTAAACTCTACACTACACGATGACAAGAAGACCAAGCTGCCCCGTTGACCTGACCACCAATGACGAAGATGATAATGGCGATCAAAATAATGACAATGGCGATAATGGTGATCAAAACAATGACAATGGTGAGCTAATCTTTTTGCATCCATTCAAACTTTCATTATTCTATCTATCTAAATTTTTTCTACTTGTTAAATCAGATAACGCAAATCCAGAAAACGAAGGAAAGAAGAAAGCTCCAAACTACACAGAACCCGAGGACTATGAGCTATGCCGCGCCTGGGTTCAGGTATCCGAAGACCCTGCCGTTGGGACCAATCAAGATGGAGGGACGTTCTGGCAACGAATCAGCACGGTATATCACGAGGCTGTACCGAGACCGATTCGGCCCGTTACCAGCTTGAAAAAACGATGGAGCAATAACGTGCAGCCGCCAATCAATAAGTTTCGTGGTATTGTTCACCAGGTTGAAGCACTCAACCAGAGTGGAGCTTCCACCAAGGATCAGTTGAACCGAGCTCTCCGCCTGTACGCCGCGGATCAACTAACACACTTCAAACATCTGCGATGCTACAACCTTCTCGTTAAAAGCCCCAAGTGGAATTCGTACTGCCGTGATAACGATGCTAAAGAAGCTGCAAAGAAAAAGCGAGCTCGAAGTCCGAGTAGCGAGGCTCCACCATCAAATCAACTGGCATCGACACCAGCACCATCGGATCCTGTCACCGACTTTGAAGGTACTGGCACGGATCCATCACCTATGGAGCGACCTATTGGAAAAAAAAAGGCTAAGACACTCATACAAATCGCAGCCAAAGAGCAAGTTTGGAAGGACGAAGTCGCAAGTGCTCATGGTAAAATTGCCTCTGAATCGAAGCGACTCAACGACATCTTCGATAATGACTCTCAGTCGCTCAAGGCCATCGCGCAGAATAGCACCACTACATCTCAGCTCGCAATAATGAACACAAACCTCGAAGGCCTCGACGATGAGCAAAAGGAATACTTCAAGCTCAAAAGGGCGGCGATTCTCAAATCACTCCGAGAGGAAGCTAATTCAAGCTCCGATTAATTCATCAATTTGGTCGATTTGGTGGTTCGGTCAACTATGTGGTGTTACTATTGGCTCTCTACTGGATTTTTTTTTCTTCATGCTTCTACCCATCAACCGGCTTTCAATCTTTTGTTGTCTTGTTTCATTCTTCTCTCTTATCTTAACCCGATCGGTTTTCTTTTATTTCCTAAGAAATTCATTTTATTTTGATCTTTGAGTTGACAAGTCTACCTTACTTGATGTGACACCGCGCATGATCTCAAACAATGAAAGCAATGAGATTGAATTGAAATAATTTATTGAATTTTGAACTTTATGAGAGTGAAATCAAATCAGTCAAATGTGAAAACAAATCGGTCAAATGAATCGGTCACATATCAGTCGGAGGGACACAGACACAGCAAGATAACCTGAACTTTCATTGAATTTTAAATTTTATCAGAATGAAAAACAACTTGGTCGGAGGGACAAAGACAAAGCAAGATAGAAAGATGAGATGAAAGTGAAAACTAAAGAAAAAATTCAAGATTCATTATCGCTGTCTTCCTGTCGACCTTTCACCTCCCATTGATGTTTTATCAGATCGGTGCGTAATTGGAAATGTTTGCTGGAATCCCTCATTGATTGATAATTATCGATAAATTCGGCAAAAGAAATCGAACTACCATCTCGCAACACCTCCACTGGAGTGACAACGGCCGCAGGAGATTGGTCGTAGCTGTACTCCAAGTAGGAATCTCGCTCATCCTCCACAATCATGTTGTGGAGGATGATACATGCCTTCATGATAGTCTTGAGGTTGTGATGTTTCCAGCCACGAGCAGGACGGGACACAATGGCGAACCGAGCTTGAAGTACCCCAAAGGCGCGCTCCACGTCTTTGCGTCGGGCCTCTTGCATTTTAACAAAATGTTTTTGTTCGGCTCCCTTCGGCTGCGACATTGTCTTGACAAAAGTTGGCCAATCTGGATAGATGCCGTCAGCAAGGTAGTATCCTTGTTCGTAGTTGTGGCCATTTATTTCGTATTCGCATCGCGGAGCTTCACCGTTCAAGAGATTGGCAAACAGAGGGGAGGTATCAAGCACGTTGATGTCGTTGTGTGAACCTGGCATGCCAAAGTAGGCATGCCAGATCCACATGTCGGTCGATGCAACTGCTTCAAGAATGATTGTCGGCTTCTTTTCTTTTCCTTGGAATTGGCCAGCCCAACCAGATGGGCAATTCTTCCACTGCCAATGCATACAGTCAAGCGATCCTAGCATACCAGGAAATCCTCGTTTGGCACCGTCAGTGAGAAGTCGCTCCAAGTCAGCGGGTGTTGGATGTCGAAGATATTCCTCGGAGTAGATAGAGACGACAGCTGTACAAAATCGGTCCATACATTGTAGAGAGGTTGACTCGGAGAGCTGGAGGTATTCGTCGTTGCAGTCAGCCGCACCCCCGTAGGCAAGCATTCTTAAAGCAGCTGTGATTTTAACAATCGGCCTGATTCCAGGTTTTCCCAACGCATCGGATCGAAGAGTAAAGTAGGTGTCAAAGTTTTCTACTGCCTCGGCGATCTTCAAGAAGAGAGGACGACCCATTCGAAAACGGCGCCGGAAGATATGTTCGTCGTAGAGCGGATGCGAAGAAAAATAATGGCCCATAAGCTTCTTGTAGCTTCCTTCAAAATCGCGGGGCAAATTGGGTTGTTTCCCTGGTTTCGAACCACCATGTGAGGGGAATTCTATTCCGTCTTCGTCGTCCTCGAGTAGCATTGGTGTGACTTGAAGAACCGCATTCATCGTTGATCTTGACCTGGCGACAAGTTGCCTTCGTCGAAGTAGTATTTCTAGTACCGCTGGGTCGATGTCCATGGCAGATGGTGTATATACTTGTAGTGGTGAAGGGATCTATCTGGTATATGAGGGTCGGGGGGATCGAGGGGGATCGAGGGTATGACCTTTCACAATCAAAAGGTGCTACTCTGAGACTTCCCGGTACAAAGAAGCCTTTGGGCGGGGAGCTAAAAATTGCGCCGCAGTTGCGCGAGCTCAAAATTTAGGGACTCGTTTAGTCCCTTGCGGTGGAGATGGTCTAAATATGCAAAGATGGACGGATGGAGAATCTACAACATCAGCCGGCTGCCGGGCCCCATGGCCATCCGAAAGGAAACGTTAACCTAAATAATCATAGACCATTCAATCATCTCCGACAGCAGCCTTTCTTTCTTTTTTTTTGTGGGGTTGATGCAAGTCGGAGTTATATTTAACCCATCATCACTGGACAAGCGCTGTGACTGGCTGACTAGATGATGTATTACAAATATATCCCGGCTTGCCAGAGTGTTTCCTTCCTCCTGCTTGATGAACAAAATCCTCTTGATCAGGATGATGATGATTGAATGGAGACTCTTGTCCAAAGATTCTTGATTTTGATCTTCTTCACTAATTTGGACTTGGAAATCAACTATGTACTGATGGCGCGCCGGGTCTAATTTCCTATTCTTTTTGAAACAATGCGATGTCCGCACATATTCCAGAGCATGTCCAGATCCAGATGATGATCGCCATGGATCAGCTTGCGCTTGCGGGAACACAGCTTCTCTTTCACTTCATCCTTCATCACAATATCAGTCCTACATGTACACACCCGATCCCAGTCACCTCTCGAACCCGTGGAGATCCATACCCCCCCAAAAAAACAAAGAAGACCGACCGACCGAATTCGAACGAACGAAAGCGAAACAAATGTCGAGTTTTTGAGATCATGATGATTCGATTGCCGAGCGTCTGCCCAGTGTGGTGGTATAAAGATGATGATGAGAGACATATTTGAGGGTTGTCTGATTGATTAGAAAATCCGGATCTTCGACTATAGCCATCAAATTGTCCTGATCTCTCTCTCTCTCTCTCTCTCAGCTCTGTAAGTCAGTGTGTCTGAGTTTCTAAGCGGATGATGATGAGCTTCAAAGGGGAGGGAGGGGCTGACGGAGAGCCGGCCTTCGCGTTGACCTCTACAGTGCTCCAGGAATTAAAGCACTAAAAATTGGCTGTGGTTCCTCATAATTGGCCTGCACACCTTGTCGGCGTCCCCGGGCCCTGTAATGTGAGTCCTCGTCTCTCTCTCCTTCTCCTTCTTCTCCTTCTTCTTCTTCTGCCTTGATTGATTGATTGGTATTCCTTATTACATATCCTCCTTATTATTATCGACAACCAAGAAAGACCGAACATCGGAATCAAAACGCAGACGCAGACGGACAGAGCAGCAGTCCACTAGACGTAGACGATCTGCTCGACTATTTTATATAGATCCCACCCTCGCTCGTCCTTCGCGCATCCAGAGACGTCGCTCCTTCCAGTATACATCTCTCTCTAGCAATCTGATCAGTCCCAATCAGTCAACCAGGAATCGTTGACGTTGGTTTGTTTTGGCGTGTGTGTAGTGTAAGTGTGTGAGTGAGTCCGTCGACTCTGTTCTCTTTTCTCTTATAAATTTGCTTCTTGCAGAATGGTCTTGGGATCCAATTAGATGTATGGATATCTGCAAGTCGACGATTGGTAAAGAAAGGAAAGGGATCCTCCATTATAGTCCAATACATTTATGATGACTTGGAGAGTGACCGAGGGAGGATATGTAATGGGCGGCGGTGTGATCCAGGCCGATGAGCTGTTCATGTTCTCTCATTCTAGCGGCAGATCCTTCATCCTCCTCCTCCTCCTTTTGCATCCCATCCCATCCTCATGGGCCCCCAAAGAACTTCAGCTCGTTATTGTGATCATCGAGGGCTCTTTTTTTTTTTTTTTGCTGCTTATCTCTACATATCCAAAGCTCGAGCGCATTTGAGATGGGTTGATCCAAGTTGAACTCATTATAAGCATCTTCAAATCGACCCTCAATCAAGAAGACATCGAGGATTTCTGCAGTGCTTCATTCTATTAAAGCGCTACTTCCCAACACTGCTTGTGTATGTACTCCGCATGGTCCTCTTATCCTTGATTGATCTCGGCACTCGATCAAGAAAAAGAAGAAGACCACATACACGGGAAGAACGACAAGAAGAAGAAGGATTGGGGGTTTTTTTTTGGGAGAGGGGAGGGGGATAGATATATAAGGAAGCCCCCCGAAGCCATCCTCAGTTGTAGAAAGCCAACCAAAAGGCTTGCTTGATGTCGATTTCGCTTGTCGACTGTTCATGAGTCACCCTTTGTAGAGAGAACACATCGTTCATTTATTTTAAGTTCCGGATCCCAATCTGCATCCTTCTTCCTCCCCTTTCTGTTGTTCTTCAAGACCCGCGAGGTAAGACCGTCCTCTAGTTATACTTACTCCGAACACCACAAAGACTTCAGTGACCGGCTGCTGACCACTACATATATATTTAGTCCGCTGTGATCACATTATATATACAACTTCACTCCTCTCCTTCAAAACCCCATCCCCCCCCCAACAAAAAAATAACAGAACTGGTCAACAAGAACCTTCGACAAAAACGTGAGTGCCGATGTTCATGACCCATTTTTAAATCAGCCAATCTCCACAACCGATTTTCCACCTTGCCGACCCTGTTCGGTAGCTTGATGCTTCCCAATGATGTTAGGTCGGCTGGATCCGAAACACTAGAGAATATATTTATACTCTTCTCCCCTCGATTTTCTTGATCACGTAAAACAGATGATCATGTCAACAAGAGTCTTTTGTTTTTTGGATCAAGGGGATGGTGATCATCAGTTATAATTATAACTGGTGGCTCTTCTGACTTGCCAAACCAGTCAAGACAAGTTATATATAAATATGTAACGGTTTTTTTGACGAAGGGGTGCTTGAACTGACCCGAACAAGCCTGCAACTGCCAGACAGTCATGATACTACTCGACTCTTTAAGAATCGTTTTCTTTTTTTTTCCTACCCTTTATATAAAGAATCCGACTTGCAGCAGCAGCAGCAGCAGCAGCAGCTTGAAGCTGGAAGGACGGGCTGATCGAGGTCGGTTGTGGCAGCTTGAGCCATCTCACATGTGCATGAACTCAGGCCCCACTGGCAGGGTGTGATCTGAACCAGAACTCTGCTTGTCACGTTCGACTGACTCGCCACTCGCAAGGGGGGGTGGGTGGCCCGGTTTGTTTAAAGAGGACTAAGAAGGAGAAGGCTGGCTATCCCCCCCCCCAGCTGAGTTGAGGTTCGGACTGGAAAGATTAAAAATTGAATATAAAGATCTCTCTCTTTCTCTCTCTTGCTTAGTAGCAGTCTATCATCCCCCATCACCCTAAAAAACAATCAACCCCATCCTCACTAACACTTCTGCATCTCCTCCCAACAGCTTCCCCCTCCCCCCTCCCCCACCTCTTCACCGCGCTTTTTTCATTAGCCTACCCGCAGCTCACACAGACAGACACAAAGCTTCTTCTTCAGCCCTTCTAAACTTATATT